TTTGATCTAAATTCACAACAGATTGTTGTGATATCATTATTGAAGGCGATGTTTTAGATAAAATCAAACAAATTAATAAGATAGTTGTAACAAACAATTTACAAAATATTTTAATTGAAAATATTTTAAAAGAATTTGAAGGAAATAGAATTGATTTAACAACATTACCCATTGAATCATTATCAATAAAAAAAGTTGAAAAACAAAATGTTGTTATTGTCATTCATCCTAGTTTAAAATCATTAACAATTAACAATTGTAAATCTTCAATTGATATTTCAAAATGTCATTTAAAAGTATTAACATTAAATAATTATGAAGGAAAAGCAATAGAAATCAATGATGATAAATTAAAAATATTTGAAGTTAATTCTAATGAAGAAATAAAATGGTATCATAATGGTACATTACTTAAACAAAATGAAATCTATGTAGATGCAAACAGAGTTACTTCATTCCAAATAAGTCATTTCCATAAATTCATAAATGATATAAATAACAGTAATAATCCAAAAACTATCATTTTTAAATACAATGATAAAGAAACTACATTGAATCAAGTTCAACTATTTAGTTATATGAATAAGAACCTAGAATGTTGGTATTTTAATGGAATAGAAATGGATTTGAGTGAATATGCATTTGAATCTATTAAATTAGAATACTCTCATATCAATAATTTAAAAGTAAAATGTAATTCAATTCGTTTAACTCATGTTGAATGTGATAATTTAATTGTTGATGGATTTTGTGATAATATCAACTTTACTAATTGTAAAATAAATTCAATGAGATGTGATGTTATCAATAGTTTGAATTATGTTAATTCAGAAATTAATAGTATAAATGGAAATGAAATAAAAGAAATTAATGGAGAAACAAAGAATTTAAAGAATGGAATGTTAAAAGATGAAAAGAAAAAGAAATAAACATTAATAATATTTCATATTTATATTTGAAATACGTAATTAAATTTATTTCTAAAATATGTTTATTGTTTGATTCTTTTTATTTACGATAATGTTACCTCTCATTACCATATTCAATAATCAACATCATTGTTATATATCATTTATTTATTGTTTTATTCTACTTTTATATTTATTATCATTTCATTTATTTATTAATTAAACACACTCTTCATCATTATTATGTTGTTTTCTTTTATTTCTATTTCATTTTCTTAAAATAAATACAATTTATGTTTAATACATTGAATTAAACTCATTCTTGATGAATAGATACTCAATAAATCAAATCATCAATATGTAGTAAAAGATGGTGTGAATAAATGGAGAATATTTAATTTGACTATTTATTGAAGTAATATCATTATCTGTATTGTTTTACTTCTTATGAACATCTTCTAAATTCATTTTATCTCAATTACATCTTATATTTTCAATGGATTATTTATATGTTTTGTGTTCTGATAATATCATGAATTTGTTTATTTGTTAATTTATATATTCTATTCATTAATATGAACTATTTACATATCTATTATCACTGTTAATATTGTTGGTTGTATTAATAAACTCACATACACATCATCTTCATTATCAATATTTTTAATTTTCACATTGTTTATTATTGTTCTTATTCTTGATGATTTCATTCTGAATAAAGAGAAATATATGTCATCATCATTTATTCGTTTAAATAAATAA